AAGTCGGACGCTTAACCGACTGCGCCACTCAGGCGCCCCCATAGTTAATGGTTTCTAATGAAAACTCACAGGGACAAAAAAGTTTATGAAAAGCTCACCATGTATGTAATTGTTTTCATATATTCTATTTTTGTACAAAAGGACTATGCTATATACACAGTACTTACTACACCTTGCCTTTCTCGCTTGCTATTTTCAATAGCAAGATTGCTTTTTTTTTTCTGATTACATAAGTGTGCTCATTATAGAAAAAAAAATGCCTAAGAGTATGGGGAAGAAAGTAAAAATTAGCTGAGAGCCCACCACACTAGGAGACTTGCCACTGAGAGTGTGGTCACCACCATTTCCCACCTTGCTACAAGGTGCCACAAAGTCCCTGTGAGCCTCAGCTTGAAGCTATCAGCAGGTTCTCTCCATTTTTAAAAAAATTAGCACAAATTTTAATTCTGTCCTATGTTCTTCCATGTTGACAGCTGATGACAGCACCGCTAACAGCTATTTTTAAATCTTCAACTAGTTATCAGGCAGCTGAGATATTTTTTCTTTCACAAGACACCAAAGAAAGTCTGCACCTCCAGGAGGCCAGTCTACAAACACAGGGGAAATTAAATTTGTACGGAGAACGCAGGGAAGTGTACAAATAAGTTGTAACTAAGCATTCGGCCACCTAGTAGCATATTCTTTCTCAAGGGAGGGATACTATAGCTATCATTGAATCACTGCCCCTCCTCCAGCTGTCTCTCCTTGAGTCCCCTACTGTCCTAATTTCAGCTGTTCTACATTATCCTCCATGTCTTTTTTAGTTTCCCTCATGGTTTTTATCACCTTTGTTCTATTTCAAGATATCTTTTCCATTTGGTCACACAGGCCACCAATAGTGGTCTCAACAAAAACTACATTCACCCTCAGCTCATCTACTGAATCATTTTGTTTTAAAGTCAGGTTTCAAGCTGGGCTTGGAGAAGTCCAGGAGATGGAACCACACATCAGATCCAGTTGAAGGAAGTGGCATTTGTTAAGACCAGTGGAATTCTGGCAAAAGGGTTTGTAAGAGATTTGTTTTGGGGTAAGACCACAAGTGCAAAGGCACAGAGGCATGAGCAGGTGTTCTGGCTTATCTTTTCCAGCCATAAGATTCTATTGATGGTAGTTCTTCTATTCAGTCTAGAAAGGATACTGACACTCATTCAGGGGGCAGGGTGGGAAAAAAGTGGGCAAAGAGTCGTTACAGGTTAAGCCTCACGTGGTCAACAGAGAGTTACCAGAAACAGGCCTCACTCTCCAGTTGCTCTATAGTCGAGAGAGGTGAACCATTTGTGATGATTCCGGAGGTGATTAGGATTCCCCCTCCTCCAGCAATGCCTGGGAACACTGGTGGTATCTAGGCTCCCAGCTAGCTTTGTCAGGAGTCTATCAGGCTGGAGCTGTACTACCTGCTGCCGTATTCCCCTGGGGCCTGCCCAGGGCCCTGCTTACCTCACTGCCCCTTACTATTCGGGGCAGGCCTGAAAAAGCCCCAGAAGAAAGGCTGCTTATACAGCCTCAAAACCCACATTCCCATCATCCAGAGACTCCAGAGCCAAGCAGAAAGGCACCTTAGGGGCAGGAGAGAGGAAGGAGCTCATCCCAAGGTTCCAAGGGATTGAGTTCAGCTAAACCACCTACTTCTTAACTGCCCCCAAGGCCTTTCAGAGTTACTGTTATCAAGACCCTTGCTGACTGCTCAAATGAGACTCCTGAGATACTTCTCCTTTTCTCCTCCACAGTCACTGGAAAATCATAGTGTACATTTCGCTCTTTACCCACCTGGAAGAGCCAGGCTTTGGTGTTCTGACACCAGGCTCTCTTGCCCCGGCGAGGGTATGTAAACAGCTTTTTGTATTTCAGGCCCATAACCTCTACCCTGGAAATTTTGGTTATTCTCTTTTTTTTTTTTAATGTTTATTTATTTATTTTGAGAGACAGAGAACAAGCAGGGAAGGAGCATAGAGAGAAGGAGAGAATCCCAAGCAGGCTCCACACTATCAGCACAGAGGCCGATGCGGGGCTCAATCCCACAAACCAGGAGATCATGACCTGAGCTGAAATCAGGAGTCTGACCCTTAACTGACTGAGCCACCCATGTGCCCCTGGAAGATCTGGTTCTAAAAAAATAATGAAAGGCGGTTGCTCCAGAGGGGACCTGTATAGATGCTGGTGTTTGGAGCTGAGGTGAGGAAGACCTACCCTTCTACCACGTCGCACCCCTGCCAGCAGGTGGGTGTCTTGTGATTGGGAGGGGAGTTCAGTAGGCAGGAACAGTGGGCAGACTGCTGAAGCTGCCCCTGCACAGTTCTTGCCAGCTGGCTGCAGTTCGGGTTATTGCTAAAGAACTCGGGCCTGAGGGTCTCCAGGGTGAGCCAGGTGTCACTGCAAGGATCCCTGAGTGGGGCACCTTGGAACTCAGCCAGAGAAGGAGGACTTAGGCAGTGAAGAACTTGTGCTCAGGTAGGGTCAGTGGCCAGTGTGGACTGAACATCTAAAAACTGACTGATGGTGGGCTTTTCAGCAAGCTTGATGAATAGAGGCTGGAACCAGATACATATTTATTTCAACAAATAAATAAATATGATATATCCTGGCCCAGAAATGGTGTGGAGTAAATCCATACCGGCTAAAAGACACCGTGATCAAGGCTGCACCCTGGGCCTGGCATCCTAAGGCCTGGTCTCCCTACCTAATATCCCCTCCCTGCTCTCCTCCACTGGAATGAGGCTGGAGAGTACCACTGGGCATGTAGGTTCTAGTTCCAGCTCTGCACCCAACTCTAAAATCACAGCATCTGCTAAAAGCAATTTTCTGTGACTCCCTCCCTGACTCCCACCTAGGCACATCCTCCTGACACCTGCTGTGTCCCCAGTCACCTGGAATGCTTTCCCACCTGCCAGATCTGAATCCTATCAAACACAAAGCCTCTCAAACAATCGTGGCAAGTTTTTCCTCTCACAGTACATAAGAACTTCTCCCAGAATTTATCATTTTGACTTCTAACTGGGTCCAGCGTCTCAAACACCTTGAGCGAAAGCCTCGTCTTCTAGGCCCCTCCCCAGCACCTATGCACACACTGAGCTGAACCAGAATGAGAAAAGCTTGTTGACAGCTCACCCAGGGAAGGGCTGGAATTACACTTGCTTAAGGAAAAGGGCCTGTAAGGGGTTAGAGCAGGAGCTGGGGAGACTTCTATTCCAGCCCAGCCCTCTTTGCACTTGGGCAAGTCCTTTTCTGGCTCTCTCTTAGTATCATCACGCACAAATCAATGACTTTAAACTATAAGCTTTCCGGATTCCCTTGGCCATGACTCTGTGATTACAAAGTCTTAACCTGAGCATCATATTGGTTCTCATGCTTGCATTTTAGCTTTCTAAAAGTCTTGAGGGGCACCTGGGTGGCTCAGTCGGTTGGGCATCCGACTTGGGCTCAGTTTGTGAGTTCAAGCCCCGCTTGGGGCTCTGTGCTGACAGCTCAGAGCCTGGAGCCTGCTTCAGATTCGGTGTCTCCCCCTCTCTCTGCCCCTCCCATGTTCATGCTCTGTATCTCTGTCTCTCAATAATAAACATTTAAAAAATAAATAATAAATAAATAAATAAATAAATAAATAAATAAATAAATAAATGAAAGTCTTGAAATTCTTTGGCACCGAGCAAAGTTCCTCTCTCTTTGACCCAGTGCGGCGATGGCCATTGGTCTCCCAGCCTCCCCTCAGCTCTACCTCAGAAAGAGTATGGAATGTATTAGGGCAAAGAGAGGTTCCGAACGTAAAACCTGCGCGGCCCTCCACCTGCCCCTCCGCGCGCCAGTGCGGCTGAAAATGCTGCTAGGGATACCCCACCCTGTGCCTCCCCCCACATACACCACGGGACCCGAGCGGTCACCTGGAGGCGGAAGCGCTGCGCCGACTTATCCATGGTCTCCAGAGCCGCCCGCTGTTTGCGTCGTGCCCTGGCCCCCGCGTCCCGCGCCGGCCGACGACTTGACCAGCGCAGGGCCACGGCCGCTGCAACGAAGCAGCAGGCCAGGGCAGCCACGGAGGCGCCAGGGAGCTCGGTCCACAATTCGTCCAGCACCATGATCTCCCGCCGCCAACTGTGCGGAGAACTGCAGATGAGGGATCAGCACATTCGCATGCCGCCGCAAAACCCGGCCTGGATCGGCCTAGGATCCCGCGCCCCCTCTGCGGGAAAGGGGGTTGGAGGACGCGCGGCCGCTGGCCCACGGGGCAGCGCGCCGTTGCTTGGCAGCGGGCCGGAGGCGGATGGTGGGCAACCGTCAAGGTGAAGCCCGGCGACAGGTTTAGGGTCACTCCTCGCGTTCTCCCGCACCCGGCCGGGAAGGGCGCTAGGGGCAACCGTGTTCCGCGCGCGCCCTCGGTAAGCTTACGCCCAGCGCACCTCACAGCCCCAGCTTCCCGGAAGACGCGGCCGGCAAGAGCCCTCTGCGGGGGAAAAGCCGGCCAAGAGGACGAGAGCAGCGACCGATTGGACTCGAGGACCTGATTAACCCCCCCGCAAATAGTTCAGTCGCATCTTTCTTGGAGACCCTCCCAGGATGCTCACCTCTCCCACCCTCACAGCTTCCAGGGGCACAGGAAGTTTCCCTGGGGAGCCCACCTGCCTCCCTCTCCCTTTCCCCAAATCAGGGACCACCTGTGTCTCACTCAAGGCTCTTCATGGCCAGATCATTGATCACTTGTCCTTTTGCTCAGCCACCTCCCCTTCTCCAGTCATGGGCCCTCCTGGATTTTACATCCAGAGAGCAGAAGGAACACCTGACCAGGAGTCTGGGGACCTGGCACTCTTCCAAAGAGGGGATGGGGTGGGGGGTTAGATACACAAACAAAATACTCCCATCCAGGCCTCTATCATAGGACTTTCTGTTTATGTGTTTTATGTCATTTGTCCTCCCAACAGACCTATGAGGAAGGCATTTTTATTAACCTTATTTTCTAGGTCAGGTAACTGAGGACAAGAGGGGTTAAATGACTTCTGTGGTCACACACATGGCTGAGTGGGGACTCAAACTCAGCTCTAATCTCAAACCATTGCTATTAACCATCAAGCAGTACTACCATTACTGCCCCTGGAAGTGAAACTCTGTGGGATGTGGTGTGGGAAAGTGCTTTGTGGCTGGAAATGGAGCCTGCTAAAACACTCCGCTGTTACTCCAGTTCTGTGTTTACTTCTCTGAACCTGTGCCTTAACCTGTAAAAGGGGGGTGGTTATAATGCCGCCTTAACCTGTAAAAGGGGGGGGGGGGGGGGGGGGTTATAATGCCTACCTCACATAATTGTGAGCAGTGTGTGAGGTCCTTTATGATTGGTGCCTAGCACGTAGTAGGCCCTGCAGAAATGTCTGACTGAATGAAAGGCCCACCTGTAAAAAGCCTAGATGTGTTAACCTTAAAATGAAAACTATCAGTTATTTTAACAGCAAAGTGGCGTATTGTGGAATAGCAGAGAGTTGCAACTCCTGACAACTAAGCCTGGCAAAAACCACAGGCAAGTCTAGGAAACAAAGGAGAGGAAGTTCTTTTACAGAGGAAAGGAGGAAGTTAGGAGGGGCTATTAGAAAGAAAAAGTCCATTGAAGTAAACTGAGAGTTTGAAGTATAGTGGCTTTTCATTGGCTGAATTGTGGCATTGTCTCATTGGCTGGGCAGTTGCTAGGGAGAAAAAAACCCTTTTTCCTCCAGCTGGGTAATAAAATTTTATAAGGTGTGTCCCTTCCTGTTGGGCCTGCAGTTGGGGAGTGATAGAGCATGAGAACTCTTCCTTCTGACTCCACTTTTTTTTTTTTAAGTTTATTCATTTATTTTGAGAGACAGCAACAGAGAGGATGAGTGGGGGGAGGGGCAGAGAGGGAATCCCAAGCAGCGGCACCACCACCCCCTTTGCACTGTCAGCATGGAGCCCAACTTAGGGCTCAAACTCATGAACCATGAGATCATGACCTGAGCTGAAATCAAGAGTCAGATGCTTAATGAACTGAGCCACCCAGGCACCCCTTTGATTCCACTTTAAATGAGGTTTCCTGGGCCACCTAGCTGGCTCAGTTGCTACAGCGTGTGACTCTTGATCTTAGGGTTTGTGAATTTGAGCCCCTTATTTGGTGTAGAGTTTACTTAAAAATAAAATAATAAATGAAGTTTCCTTTTATTAGTTCTCACAAATGATATTGGAAGAATCCGGACCTGAGGGTCTTGTAAGTCACTGTCAGGCTCTTGGGCATATTCTGGAGGCATTCAAAGCCTTGTGTTTCTAAGTCTTCAATCCCAGTTGAGTGCTGCTGAGTTCTTACTTAGCACTCATGGCCCTTTTTGTAAGTTTTCCTGGACCTCAGTTTCCCTAGGAGAGCTGACAATGCAGGATGATGGAAACCCCAATCTGAAATAGGTCTTGCAAGGTCATCTCACCCCATCTCCTGATGGAATAAAGGGATTCTACTCCTTGACTCAACCCTTCGCTTTCTGGGTGACCTTGGGTAACTCAACTTTCTTTCCCTTTTGTAAGGTGAGAAGCATTCTTTCCGACACACACTCCCTCTCACAAAGGAGAAATTAAGATTATAATTATAGCAGGAGGGCGACTGGGTGGCTCAGTTGGTTGTCAGACTTCAGCTCAGGTTATGATCTCATGGTTCATTGGTTGGAGCCCCACGTCTGGCTGTCTGCTGTCAGTGAATGGCCCGCTTTGGATCCTCTGTTCCCCTCACTTTCTGCCCCTCCCCCGCTCACGTTCACGCTCTCTCTCTCTCAAAAATAACTGAATATTAAAAAATTTTTTAATTATAAAAAAAGATTATAGTTATGGGGAAACTAAGGCCATTCTGAGGTTTAATCACCAAGTTTATAACCTGCTGTGCGTTGGACCAAAATTTGCAGGGCTTCTTTGTTTCATTTTTTAAGTTATTTGTGAGAGAGAAAGAGAGAGAGAGAAAATCCCAAGCAGGCTCCACACTGTCAACATGGAGCCTGATGCAGGGCTCCAACTCACAAACCTCAAGATCATGACTTGAGCTGAAATCAAGAGTGGGACACTTAACTGACTGAGCCACCCAGGTACCCCAAGCTAAAATGTGTTAATTTAGGAACTCCATTAACAAAATCTTCATTTGTATTTCTTTGCTGTGATGTTGGTTTCTCTAAGTACTAGCCTCCTGGGGGCATATTAAGCAGGATTTAATTTACAGAAAGGATCTGAAGGATCTGGTGGGGTCTGGAAGCCACGGCAGTAAGTTCTGGACCAAGTCGAATGCATAGGTCATGGTGGGTGACCACTTCATTCCTCTGAGAGATCATCCCTTCACCTTCTGACATTCTGTGGTTCAATTCAACAGACTGCCACCAGCCCCTGCTACTTATTTGATAGGCCTCTTGCGGTGAGCTGGAGAAAGTGAGGCAACTACCAGACCTCAGATCTGGCCTCGTGGGGCTCAAGGTTTTGTTGGGAAGGAAAAAACATGCATAGGCCAAGAGACAAAAGATATACTTTGGTGGAAAAAGCAGAGATCATACTGCATAAACCCAAAGAGCCTTTGGATGCTGGGCCCTTGTGCTGAACAGCCCTTGGGGAATCAGATAGTTCAGAGGTATATAAAGTTTGGCTCTGGAGCTAGAGTGTCTGGCAACCCATCCCTGTGGTGTGACTGTGCCCCAGTTTCCTCACCTGTAAAATGAGGACAATAATGGTACCCCCCCCATTCTCTAGTACTATTATAAGAATCAAATGAGTTAATGCATGTAACAGAACAGGACCTAGCATATAGTAAGCATTCCATGCATGTTAATCATTATATTATTGTTACTATTTATTTAAAAAAAAAAGAGAGGGGTTTTCTGGCCTGAGAAGCCCAAGCTCAGGAACCAGACTGCTTGAGTTCAAATCCTGTTTGCCACTTGCTTACGATATCACCTTGAATAAGTCGCTTTAACCTCTTGTGCCTTAGTTGCCTCATCTACAAAATGGGGAATAAAAATAGTGACCACCGTACAGAATTGAGCAGATTAAATGAGTTAAATCAAGGAAAGAGCTTAGAACAGCACCCAGCCCATCGCCCATTGTAAGAGTTCAATAAACATTAGTTCATTAGTAAGCAGAAATGTGATGCAGTCCTACCAGTGTTTGGGAAAGGCAGTTTGGAGGAGCGGGCGGCGGAATGCCATGGAATGGAAGAGCAGGGAAATTCGAGGATCCCAAGTGGGGGATGGGTTTCCAAGGCTCCAGCTGTGTTATCCAAAAGGCATCTGTAAGTCAGTCAACACCATACCATCCGTGAGCCAGAACAGCAAGTACCTGCACTCAGCCGTCAGTGTCAGTCCCTCGGTCCCTCAGGTGGGTTCCCTGAGCAGGGTCAGTGTGTCCCTCCCCCATTAGTTGGTGACCTTGAGCAACTCACCCTTGTGTGTGCTCAGTTGTCAGGAAGACAGGTAATACCCTGCCTCACTCCCTTGGAGGTGGGGGCAGGGTTGCAAGAAGGGGAAGGAGAGCTTGCAAAAGGGAAGGGAGCTTCTCAGATTCCAGAAGGTTTGAAGTCTGTCTTTGGTTCTGAGGGTGAGAACAGAGTGTGCCCCGGTTGCCAGTAACTTCTCTGCTTCTCCGTTTCCTTTCACTTGTGAAACTTGCCTCAGTACTGAAGGGGTGGGCAAGAGAGGGACGCAGCCCTGCTTCAAGGAACTCCCACTCCCACAGGTGAGGTAGGATACCAATCTCAGACGTACTAATCATGGGGTGCTTTATAATTCTCAAAGCACTGTCAGGTCTTTGACATTAGTTGTCTGGGCCTCCCTACCACTTTAAAGACCCCCACTACCCCTACACTCTCTTCTAAGTTAGAGGAGTCCATCTCCTGTGGTAAGCTTACTACATAAATGATCCCAGTACTACACCCCTTTCTAGATCTGTGCTTTTTGCAAAATAACTTTGTACCTCCTCCCTTCAGTAGGTGGAATCTCTTTCCTTACCCTCGTAAACCTGGGTTTACCTTTGTGCAAGGAATGCTGTGCTAGTCTGAGCCTAGGCTGCAAGAGAATTTTCTCTCTTTTCTGGTATCCCGCCACTGCCAAGAGAACAAGTC